TGGGAAGGGTCTGCCGAGGCATCTGGGCAGGCTGGAGCGATGGGCTGAGACCCAACAGGGTGAGGTGCAACACGGCCAATTCCAGGTCCTGCGCTTGGGTCACAACCAGCCCAGGCAGCGCTGCAGGCCGGGGGCAGAGGGGCTGGAAAGCTGCCGGGCAGAAAAGGACCTGGGGGTGCTGGATGGTAGCGGCTGGACGTGAGCCAGAGTGTGCCCAGGTGGCCAAGAAGGCCAATGCATCCCGGCCTGTAGCAGCAATAGCGTGGCCAGCAGGACCAGGGCAGTGAGTTCAGCACTAGTGAGGCCACACCTCCGGTAATGTGTCCAATTCTGGGCCCCTAAATTCAGGGAGGACACTGAGGTGCTGAAGTGTGTCTGGAGAAGGCAGCAGAGGTGGCGATGGATCTGGAGCACGAGTCCTACAAGGTGTGCCTTGCAGGTTATTTAGCCTGAACAGGAGGAACTCGGGAGACATCGCTCTCAAGACTGCCTTAAAGGAGGGTGGAGCCAGGTGGGGTTCAGCGTCTTCTCCCAAGTATATAGGGACAGGACAAGAAGATACACTCTGAAGCTGGGAGGTTTAGCTTGGACATTAGGAAGAAACTGTTCACAGAAGGAGTCATTAGACATTGGAACAGACTGCCCAGGGAGTTGGTGGATTCACCATCCCTGGAGGTGTTTAAGGAAAGACTGGACATGGCACCTTTGTGCCATTGTCTAAGTGACATGGGGGTGTTCAGACATAGGTTTGGCTCGATGATTGCTGAAGTATTTCCCAAGACTTTCCAAGTATTTTCTAATCGATTCTGTAGCTCTGTGTGGGGTCACACTGGCCCCAGCCCACCAGACCCCAGCAAGCCCCACTATCTGCTTCCGAGTCCCAGCCTCGCAGTTTTTGTAAACTTTTTTGCTGCTGTGGTTTGATGCCTCTCAGTGCCTTTCCCATGGCACGACAGCTTGGAGGGGCTGCACTCGAGGTCGGGCAGGAGCTGCAGGCCAGCCAGTCCCCACAGCCTGGGGGCAGCTCTTGCCATCATCCAGGGCAGAGCATCCCAGTGAGCACTTGGATTTTCACACGGCATGGAGCATTTAGGTTTTCGCAGGATCGGAGCCTCCAGAATGCAATGTGATACCCTGTGCTCTGCAGAGGCTTCACGCCACCTCGTTACCAACCAGCAAGCGAGGAGCAGTCCCTGGGCATCCCGCGGTGCAGCAGCGCTGCTGTCGCTGCTGAGGCCCGGGCTGCTTTGCGCTGGGGAGGCTTTCTGCAGGGCGGTCGACACCAGAGGGAGCCCAAAGCGAGCTTTTAGCGCTGCTCCCTGGGCTGCTGGGGCTTGGCAGCGGAGATGCTGTAAATGACGGCCGTAGCCTGCCCCGGTGCTCCCTGCCCAAGAGAAATAAAACCCTTAAGGTGAGTGCTGAGAATAGGAAACATTTCTGAGCACTAGACTGAAGAGAAAGTTTTCCCTTCAAATATGCATATGTATAAATATATAAATGTCTAGTACAGACAGTGGTAGCAAGTAACAGAAACAGAATCACAGAATGTCTGGAGTTGGAAGGATCCACAAGGATCATCAAAGTCCAACTGCTGTCCCACTCCTGACACTTCAAGTATCCTGAGAGTGTTCCCCACACATTTCTTGAGTTCTGTCAGGCTTAGTGCTGTGACCACTTCCCTGGGGAGCCTGTCCAGTTCCCAATCACCCTCTGGGTCAAAAACCATTTTCCAATATCCAGCCTAGAGCTTCTCAGACACCTTCAGATCATTTCCTCAGATCTGGTCACTGGGCATCACAGAGAAGAGATCAGTGCCTGCCCCTCCCCTTCCCCTCATGAGGAACCTGTAGACAGCATTGTGGTCTCCCCTCAGTTTCCTCCAGGCTGAGCGCACCAAGTGACCTCAGCCACTCCTCATGTGGCTTCCCCTCAAGGTCCTTCACTATCCTCATTGCCCTTCTTTGGACACTCCCTAACAGCTTAATGTCTTGTTTATTTTGTGGCACCCAGAACTGCCCCCAGCACTCGAGATGAGGCAGCCCCAGCTCAGAGCAGAGAGGGACTATGCCCTCCTGTTCCTGGCTGGCCGTGCTGTGCCTGATGCCCCCAGGACAGGGTTGGCCCTCCTGGCTGCCAGGGCACTGCTGACTCAGATTCAGCTTGCCGTTGACCAGGACCCCTCCCCTACACAGACTCTGACAACTTGTCTTTATTAGACTTCATGAGGTTGGTGCAAAGTATGTTTGGTATACTCAGATAATTATGTATTTCAGAAGCAGTTAAACAAGGATGGAAACTAAGTTGGATGATGAGAAGAAATATTCAATTAATTTTTTCTAAGTTATAAAAAAAATTACATGTGCAGTGCAGGGAAATAAAACAAAGGGAACTTGTAATTGAGAGAACAAAGAGCATTTAGTTAGAGAAGACTGTTCAGTCAAGGCAGGAAAGATGTAACAAAGTTTGTAAAAGTGTAACAAGTAGCAGGTGCTAAGTAGTTTGTAGAAAGGACTGTTCTATAAGCATTTATCTTTGAGAGAAAAGTCTGATGTTGCTATTAGGGAATTGATCATGAATATTACTGGTTAGCAAGCTTATTAATAATTATACTTTTGGCTATCCAGGTTCATGCTATTCTAACCCAGTGGTGAAAATATTATAGAAGTTATGTGCACTTTTAATAAACATCTTTGGTTATACCACAATGGGGGACCATGTTTCTCTCATGCATTTGCAGTGCAGGTTACTTAGGACAGTCCTTACCTGTGGAGTGGGTGAGGATGCTGTGAGTTACTCTCAGCAGGAATTTACACCTGTGGAGCACCTTCACGGTGGAAGTGGTGAGGGCAGGCCCACATCAGAGAGCAGTGTAGAAATACAAAAGTCCAGTTTCCCCTCTCCTGGGCTCTGGAAGCACCAAGGTGTGAAGGCAGTTTAGGTATTGAAGTGGACTTCTCACCAGACAACCTGCAAAAAACAGTGAAAGGAGGGGCTGGAGGTGGGAGGCTTCCAGTTTGGTACCCAGGCTGAATTCCAGGGCTGGCCAGCTAAAGGTGCACTTCAAAAGGAAGAACAGCTCTTCCTAGTTTTCATCACATGGATAGATGCTGCATTGCCAGTGATACTGAGTTTCAGGAGTTTCTTGAGTTTACTGGTGGTTGGTCTATTTTCTTAAGACCCTTACTTCTGGACTCAGATGACTAAAATAAAAACACCACCTTTTTATTAATAAAATTAAATTTCTATCTCTCAGCTGGTAGAGAAAAGCATAGGAACAAGATCCAAGGTTCATAAAGACAAAATAAAAAGGAAGCATTGAAAGTGTTATGTTTTTTACATTCAAGACTTGTAAATATTTTTCATTCTATTTTGCTGGTTAAGTCATGATACTGATATTTAATACCCCTTGAGAATCCAGTTCTGATCCTCTGACAATTTTCCATCAGTGTAAAATAGCTGAATTGTCAAAAATGAAAAAAGATTTAAATATTTAGTAAATAATCCAGTTACATACTGGCTAAAGAGCAGGATTAAGTATGCATTTCTCAGTGGGGTGATGACATACTTTGCATTCCAAAAATAACAGAGAAGGTGGTAAACAGAATCTCTTAACTTGACAGATTTTTAAATTGGTAGGTATTGCTCTTCTGTATCTGATTCTTTCAAGACAGACAAGAAAAATATCACATTTTTATTAAGTCTTGAGATAGCAAAAATATGAAGACAAGTGGGTAAAAAAATGAATTCTCTGCCAGTATTAAAACAGGTAGACCAGATGACCTGATGGTGATAGCTTTTCATCTTGACTCTGCTCCCTGAGAAGTGAGAGCAGATTAGAAAGAGCGTTTAGACTAATAAAATATTAAAGAAGCTTAATAGTAGCAAAAATAATTATATTAATAATAATTGTAAATCAACATGGTGATGAGGGAAAATACTAGTGTTCACTGTATTTCTAAAACAAGATTGCAAGTTTTACTGCTAAAATAAAAATATGTTGTTGCTTCTGTAAGCAACTGACTGGCTAGAAAATAACTTTGATTAAAAAGGTTCAATCAACACATTTCACATTGATGTAAGTGCAGAACACTAGTCTTAAAATAATTAAAATATAAGCCATACTTAAGCAATTATTTTCCTGAGAGATTCTGCAGGGATTGGGTGTTGTCTTGCACTGTTTAATGTTGTGTTGTTTTGTTTTAAACCATGGCCAGGATAAGATCCTGAGTGATGAAGTTTGCAGCTGACACAGAGGTTGTAACTGTGGTCAGATAGAATAAGAACGACTGCCTGGCACTGAGTTAAGTGTGACTTACATCCACTGTCATCTCAGAACACAAGACCTCAGGATAATGTTTGGTACCCTTGTACCCGAAGGACAATCAACACGTGTTTAAAACATTCTAGGTCTGCTTACAGTCCCTCTAACTCCCAGAAAGGCACCTGCCACCTGCATGGCCTGTGTGTGCACATATTGAAAAGCTGACAGGCATTTCTGGACTCACTTCTCTGGTGTTGTGAATCACAGTCATGCTGACTGCACCAGGTAACACCATGCAGGTCACACTTGGAGCATCAGTGACAGAAGAAGTCAGGTAACCCTGAAAAGTCCTGGAGCAACAGCAGGGATTAGCCAGTGACAGATAATTGTGGTATGTAGCTCTGTGACAAAAGGAATGATATCCTTGAATCCACAAACAGGAAAGATTTTGGAAATATTGTCTGAGCTCTTTGTATGGCTCTTAATGTGAGTGACTTAATCACAGTCAGACAGGGCTGGATCTGGAAAAAGGACAAGGTGCCCCAGAAGGGGTGTACACAGACTCACACCATCAACATTTATGACTACAAAGGTATTTGTTCAGCAATTGCCTAACCTTTGAGGCAGTTAAATTGATGTGGCACTTCTCTGTTGTGCTGCAGAGAACCCTTCAGAACCTGCAGTTCTGCTCCTGTCCTGTCCACATATCTCTGCTGCTTAGGTGGATCAGGCTCCCAAATCTAGGCAGAGTGCTGCAGTTCCTGGAGCCCCCTCAACATGCCCAGTGAGACCACCTCCACCACACCCTGTCATACACCACCCACAGCTCTTCTCACCTCTGTCTACTTGTTCTACATTAAACTGCCCTGAATGCAATCTCTCCAGGAGCAGAACTTGTTCCTGCTTTTCCTCTCCATGCCAGCCAAGTGCCCTGTTCACAAGTGTGCACTGCTTGTACCATGTTCCTCAGCCCTGCCTAGGAAAAGCTCCAAAGCAGCTTCTCCCTCCATGACCCTGATGGGTTTCCTGCACACACCCTCAGCCAAAGCAGATAATGGGGGTTTGGATTCCCAGCCAGGAGCAAGCACATAGCCTCTGTGATTGGACCTAGCTTTTAGTAAGGAAAAAGGCTTTTGGCAGCAGAGGGCTCTTCCCCTTCTCAGAGTAAGGCTTCATGAAATTAAAAGGCTGCAGAATGAGACTTGGAAGATTCAAACTCAGGGCAAAAAAAAAAAAAAAAAGCACAATGCGAGTAATTAAAAAGTGGGAGAACATGCTAAGGTTTGTGGCTGGTTCTTCTGCACTAAATATTTTGCAGCAAAATCAAAGGGACCTTCCAGTTCAAATGGGAGGGAATTAGGTCAGGGAAGTTCTCTGACCTGATGTAGGTAGAAGATCATGGAATCCACATACCCTCCCTAGTCTTGTGATTAATTCCCTTTGGTACAGCTATTCCTGACATGGGATTGCTGGGACCTGTGCTTGCCCTCAGGAACTTACAAAATAATTACATTTGTTGTGTCAACCCATTAGATACTCATAGGCTGCATGCAGACTCATTAGTTAAACTGAATTATGTATTTGCTCTTTGAAGGTTATCAAAATATTCAGATCTAGCATGTTTCATGGCTTGCCACCACTGCTGCTGCTTTGTACACAGATTTCTGTGGTTACTCCTGGCTTACCAACCACAGACTTTTCATGCGCAAATGCCGGTTTCGGTTATTTCACAGGTTGAAACTATGGTGGCTGATGTCATCCTGGTCTTTTCATTTCAGCTTACTTTTGATGAAACCCTTTATTGTTAGATTAAAATACAATAAATATTTGTTTCAGATCTCATATACTAACTTTGTTTTAAAAAAGCTGGCAGCCTAGATTCCTGCAGAGATGTACACTAGCTCAAACATCAAGGACGTACAGGCCCCTGGTAGGTACCTCCACACCTGCAGTGCCTGCACAGGAGCCTGGTCTGCAGTCTCTCCCTGCAGTGAGCAGGGTGTTCATGGAGGGTGGCATGTGATAGGAAAGTATAAAAATAATGCACATGCATAGTGCACCTGGATTCATTGCAAGTAATCTGTTTGTCTTTGAGCTGGATCCAGACTACCCTGTATTTTCCTAGAGCAGAGTCAGACTCTTGCTGTGAAATCCTGAGGTCTCTCTACCTCCTTTGGAGCCTGGAGCAGTCTGCCTCATTTCTTGCCTTTCCCCTTTTAAGAACAAGCAACCAACAAGAAACCAGTCTTGGGAGAGTTTTGAGATGCCACTACTGCAATGATGTCCCTTTAGGCTCTGAAGGTCTTAATATCCATCAGGTGTCATGTTCTTGTGTTCATTCCAAGCCATTTTCCCCCCATAACTCTAGGAATATCCCCAGAGCCGTGCTCTTCAGTCACATTTATCCACCAGTTTGCGTGTGCTGGTATTGCATTTAATGTATAAATAATAGTTTTTTCAGCACCTTCATACTTTTGCTGGAAGGAAGGTGGAGGACAGCAAGGTAGGAAGGCTTTTAGTTAATGAGACTGTTATTTTTTGCTGACAAGATCGCTGAGTATCTTAAGAAAAGGGAATCTTATATCCTTCCAAGAAACTAAGCAGGAATTTGCATTCCAGAATATTTGTGAAGCATGTGTATTCCAGGAAAAAAACCACAACCCAGTATTTATTGTCACATTGCCTAGGGATTTCAACATCTGTGAGGAAACATTGGTGATCACACAGTGTCCACATTCTTTGTGATGATTTGATTATTTTAGCTCCGAGCCAGTGGAGCAGTACCTGAAGATACTCTCCTGCTAGACCCCCCCTCATGTGAGCTCAACCTCATGGCAACCCCTCTCTTGTGCTTCAGATATTCCTAAAGCTTTCTCTAGCCTGGGAAAATAAGTTAATCATGAAACAGGTATGCAAGAACCATGTTCCAGCTGAGTGGGATTTTCACATGCAGATGTTGCTGAGGTGAACATTGGTGGAGCCCTGGAGGCAGTGAGAGTGCTCCAGATGTCTTGGCTCTGAGATGTTTTGGCAGCCACTGAGCAAGGGTTGGACATTGAGTCCTGCTCCTGCAAAGCTGCAGTGACAGAGCACACATCTGATTTCCACTGGCACTGCAGTTTCACTCTCCCTTCTGCCCTGAGACCAGCAGAACTTAATGCTACGAGGCCTGATGCTCCCTAATCATAGAGCCCTGCAGACAGCTGCAGGCACTGACTGTGCACCCGCACCACAACTCCAACACTGACATCACAGCCTCAGCCCTGTCTCTGATCCCACCTGGGATCAGGAGATGCTCACAGGCCAATGAGATTTTTGGCACCTTTTAGACAAGAGCATAAATGGTTGCACAGCAGGTTGAGCACTGTCTGGATGGGTCCAGCTGAGAAAAAGTTGCTGCTGCTGGTGAAAGCCCCAGGGGATGATGTGGAGCCTCCCTGTGCTCCAGTGCATGGTACCTGCACACCCTGCTGCCGGCTGCAGTTCCTGGCCAAAGGGGCAGAAAAAAGGGCCAAATACCCACTAGGGAGAAGAGGAAACAATTCACTCAATTTCATAGCTGTCAAAACCAGTCTTAAACTGGGGCTAGAAAACAAGTGAGAAGAAAAGCACTGCTTACATAATCCTTTGGCAGTGGAATGAATCAGGGTTCTTGTGGGAGAAGAGGAATGCAGTTTTAAAGATATAAACAGCATTCATGTAGCTGGCAGTAGCTGGATAGTCCTACTTTCCTGAAGAGCAGACATTTGCCATGGGTTTATGTGCCCTGTCTTTTGTGCCCATGGTCTCTCCTCTGAAGAAAACTCTGTAAAATGAAGCATTCCTGCTGTTTTCTTTAAAATAATCTGTAATTTTTTGGCCATAATACAAAGGGAGGCACCCATCTGTTTGGTTTTGTGGTTTTTTTCTCTTTTCCACAAATGTCCTTGTTTGTGTTAACTAGCAAATCTAATCATCCAGCTCGCAGGAGAGTTACACAACCCTCCTGAGATTTCAGTCTAACAGCAAGTCTTGCTTAATACTCCCACATTTGCTTCTTGCTTCAGATTTGCAGCTTCTTTGGCATTACAGCTGTGCTCTTATAAAACAGATTAAACAGCAAAAGGAATGCTGAATGGAAAAGCTGTGTTATTTCCACCTTGCAGGACTTACTGAAATGATCCTGGCTGGGTTAAAACATGAGCTGAAACTCCCACAGGGCGCATTAGTCTGAGTGATTCACATAAACACTCAAAGAAGTCAGTCTTGGTTGAGCTTCCTAGTCAAGGTAGGTAATAGTACACCAGCAGCAGAGCCCCTCTCCCTTCTCCTTTAGAGAACATGGTTGATAGAAGCCTTCTGCTGTTTACTCTCACTGGAAGCAGCAAGATGAGAACTGGGTAACAACAGAAAACTTGGGGCTTGGGTAACTCTTTCACATTAGGAACTGAGATGCCTTTTCTGTAAAACTGCCTTGTGCTGTGAAACATTCTTCCTCTGTGCCCTTGATGTAGGTCATCTGCAGAGGGAAATCTCATCAACCCTTTGAAATGCAGCCAGGTTTATGATCACTTTCTTTTGCAGTTAACTTTTAAGGGAGATAATCTTTCCGGGAAGAGGTCTGAAGAAAGGCAAGTTACAGGTATGTACATTTCATGTGTCTTGGTAAAAGTGCAGATGGAATTGCTTTCTTTCTCTCTGCTCTGCACTGTCTGGTTTCCAGGAGCTGTCACTCATACCACCCTTCCTGGCAACTTTTTGCCATCACCCATGGGCACTGCATGGGGCATCTACCTGCATGTCATCTTTTATGGGCAACTTCTGTGGAGATCTTCTTCCCTCAGCTTGCTTTGAGCCCTGCCTGCCCATCTTGGCAGAGGGCTCCTCTGTTGCAGCAGCTTTGGTGGTTTGGAAGCAGCTTTAGGACCAGCTGCTGCAGGGATGCTGATAGAGCCACAGCTGGAACAAAGCACATCACTCAGAGCACAGAGCTGGGGAGCCAAGTTTCTGCAGCACTTCCAGATGTGAAGCAGGGGAGTTGGGTTTAGCCTAGTTTTCAGATTTTCTTTTCTTTCTGATTTTGTTGGGTTTTTTTAAAAGCACGATGCAAGCACACTGAGAACAATTTGTACTGTTCACTCACATTCAGCTGCATTTTCCCAGTGGCAGTCACTTAGCATATTTTCTAGCTAAGACTCTTCAATCAAAACCACATCTGTGTGTTGGAGCAGATTGGCAGTAGACATCTTGTCCCCTGAAATCCAAGGAAAAACTATTTCATGTCCACTTTGTCACATGTGTGACTTGGCCTCCAAGGTAATCCCATCCTCACAGACCACTCCGAGGATGAGGAGGGGAATGTCTACAGCCACTTAACCAGGAGGCAAGTTCCTCTTAATTCTACTTTGAGAAGTTTGAATGGAATAAACTCTGTGGGATTTGGAAAAGTCCTCAAGAAAACATGATTGCTGAGCAACTTCCTGTGTGGATACCTGGGAGGAAATACAGAGGTTGCTGGAAAGTCACACAGAGTATTTATTTCTGTGGGGAATCAGGAGCAGACCTGAGCCTTTATCCCTGTCAGCATACTGCATTTGTGCTTTAGCTTCTCCTTAATATACATCTTACCCTGATTTTGTCCTGCCTGTAGTTTCAAGCAACCTCCTTAATAAATCCTGCAGCATCTCCTGGGGACTTAAACATAAGTGTGAGGGGGGATTAAGTTGTGAGAGGCACTAAAAAGCTTCCATTACAGCCTGTCAATGCCTCTTTTCAGGTGATAAGAAATGAGTGTGATGATGCACTGGTTGCTGCTGCTCCTTCTGGTCAGCTTTGGCTCACCTGCACTCAGGTTTTCGGTGTGTATCTTTTAGCTGTTTCTGTACTCTCTCAATGGTTCACCATTCCCAGTCATGCAGAGATGGACATTCCCGCACAGGAGGGATGGAGAGCTGCAAGAGCAGAGCAAAAAGGAATCTGTCTGCAGCTAAAGGAATGTCGTGCTGATAATACAGGATTTTCATAGCATTAAGGGCTGTACAGCTGTCTGGGAAACTGAACTGACATTACTAAGAATTCAAAACAACAACAAAAACAACAACAAAAAAGTATTTTAAAAAATGTATTTTTGTAGCCAAAATATCAGCTCTTTTTCAGTTTTACACAAAGCTAATTCTGGAACCTTGCTGGTTTCACCGATCTGCAGTGCAAGAGCCAAGTTTTCCCTCTCTTCTCATCCTGAGCACTTTCATAGTTTGCAAACCTTCCCCTTGAGATCATTAAGTGGGGTCAAGACAAATTATTTTCGTCCAAAGTAAGTTTTTTGTGCATCTGATTGTATTCTGGCATGTTCTGATCCATGCCAAGGTTGTTTCAGGACCCCCTTTTCTGCTGGACTCAATTCAACAGCTCATGCTGTGCAAGATTTGGACATCTTAGGAAGAGATCACCATGAAATCATGGTGATCCACATAGGCAGTGTGACATGCTAGGGTGAAGAGGAGGCAGATACTCCTTTCTCTGTGTCTCTCCTTACCACTGGCTGAATTGTGGGGGGTTTTGTTTTGTTTTCTCCATAGGACAAAGATATCTGCCTCCTAGACAACACTAAATTAAAACAAAGGTTAAAACACCTTCAAGATTTGCTTTACTTATATGAATTGCAGCTGAAGGACATACTGGAGAACACTTACCACAGGACGAAAAGTGAACTGTTCTCAGGCAACAGGAGTGAGCAGCATGAGACGCTTTTACCCACAACCAGTGGAAATTTGATAGTGTATGACGAAGGTACAGTTTGCAGTAGTGTGCCACAATGTTTATTTCTCCCTGCAGTGTCCCATATGTCATATTTTATGTCTGCTAAAAGTTTAAAAAATTTTAAGTGGATTGTGATTTAAAATACAGATACATGAAGAGAAGAGCTGACTGGTTGCCCTGACACTAAAAGATATCCCTTGGGGCTAGAGTCACCTACCCTAGCTGTGGGCAGCTATTACCCAGGTACAAAATGGACATCTTCAGCTGGGCTTCTTACCTGCAGAGAGAAACAATCACTTGTGTTTGCCATCAGATTTACTTTAGGCATCTGCTTTAGGAATAGATGGGTCCTGTTCTTGAAGAGCTCATATTCCCTGTGTGGCTTAGGGGAGCCCAGAGTGCCTGGCTCAGCTGCAGCTGTTTGGATGAGCCAAGCCTCCCTGTTCCTCAGCTCCCCCATTACTTCTGTGGCATAGAACAGGAACGGGCACTTTGTTCCTTGGTGTTATTTTGAGAACATGGTCATAAATGACATTGTTTCCTGTGGCCAAGATTTTAGCCTTTGGGCATTACATTGGAAGTGTGAAGTACTGAGATCCTGAAAGGCTCTCTCCTGATACAGCCGTGGTAGAGTTGGACACAGGAGTTTAGCCTATTGTTTTAGAAATATTGTTCCCTGATCTTACCAGAGGTACAGCTGAGGGTACCTTAACTTCCACAAGGAAATTAGCTTCCCTGCAAATGATCTTGCTGACAAAGTTTCAGTCTCAGGCTTTCATGATATAGCCCCAAGCTAAGCTGCAGCTGTCCTGCATCTCACGAAAGATTTGGGCATTATTCCCTTGGAGGGCATGGCTGTAAAGGCTCTCAAGCCGTAAAGCTCTTTGTCAGGCTGGTAGTTTGCAAACTGGTGTAGCTACTACATTGCTGCACCATTTCCTTTGACTTCACAGGGCTATGCGCAGGCTGGCCAAGTGTCCTTGTCCCATAGAGCCTCTCAGTGACATCTCCTCCAGGTGGCACACAGCCCTTGGCTTTGCCCCCAGCCCATTTAACAGACAGGTACCGTTGTGCCCAGATTGCTCTGCAGTGTATGGCCGGAGGAGCACCGCGAGTGGCTACTACCGCATCAGGCCCAGGGTGGACCGAGAGCCCTTCCTGGCATTCTGTGACATGTCCGATGGCGGGGGCTGGACCGTCATCCAGCGGCGCAGCAACGGCAGGGAGAACTTCAACAGGTGCGTTCACTGTTCTTGCAGCAACAGGGCTCGCAGTATGGACACCAGTTCCTACCCCTGTCCTGCTGCCAGGCAAACCCCCACCCTTGAGAAACAGGATGTGCAAAACCATGTATTAGTGATGATAGTTTAGGATTAGGACAATCTGGTGGTACCTGTTGGCAGCAGGGGGCCATTTTCAAAATGGATCTGCAACTTGGTGAGAACTTCCATGGGTTCTTTGCTTTTGAATGCATATTTTATCATTATGTCAAAGGCTCCAAATTGGCAGGTGTCTGCTACCTGCCACAGACTGAGACCTGTTGAACAGATCTGTTCTGGTATGAGGAATTATGTTCAGCATGTTGTAACATTTATTATCGTATTCAGATAACTTTTAAAAATGCCAAACCAGATTGTCCTTTTCCTGTGCAAAATCCCAGAGAGGTGACTTTCATGCTGAAATTTAGAGGAGGAGAGATGCTCTGGTAGCACAGTTCAGAAGAAATGTCCTCATGAATGTTAATTAACTATCACAGCACACACAATTTCAGGGCATTTCTACTGCCTTCTAAAGTCTATGCAGTGCATTGCAAAGCTACCTCAAGTGACTCTAAGGCAGCTTGCCCAGAGAGTGGTAGCTATCTAGCCAAGGTAGTTCAGGTCAAATAAAAACATCCTGAAGAGGAGCATTGACTAAAAATGTATTGACTAAAAAATATGAAGGTCAGGCAGAACGAATATCCATAATAGCAACATGAGAGAAGGAATAAACACAGGGTTACTAAAACTGGAAATGATGACAAACACTGAAGTATATGAGAATATCAAAGGTAGAGTAGGTGAATTATGACTTGTTGGAGAACAATATCAGGTGTTTTGCTGAAGACCAATGTGACAGCTGCTGCTTTCCCTTTCCTTTTATCTGGAAACATCAGTCTGCAAGCACTGCATCTAGCAGTTTGAAGGTTTGATCCCCATGTATGTGTGTGCACAGGTTGAGCAAGGGAAAACGTAAGCTGTGAGTTGTATTTACTGTTAGATGAGTCGGATGCTTTTAGAAAACAGTATCTAGATACAGGTGAAGTTTTAATTGTTACCATTCTCAAGTGTCACAAACTGTCTAATCCCCTCTCATGATGAAATTTATATCTATACATTTTTCTGCACAGGAAATGGGATGATTACAAACTGGGATTTGGGAAATTCCAGGGCAAGAATGATGAATACTGGCTGGGAAATGACCACATCTATGACCTTCTTGCTAGAGGTCTGAGTATTTTTTCTCCATAGATTTCTCTTTAATTTGCTTTAGGTATTCATCTAACATGACACAACTTTATGTTTAGGAGAGAACTCATTAAAGATTGACCTGGTGGACTGGCATGGGGAAAAACGTTATGCAATCTATGAAAATTTCCAGCTTGCAAATGAGCAGGTAAGAAATGGAGAGAGCAGTGATTTTCTTGCCTTGGTCTGTGAGGGTGGGGCAGTGCATACACAGCATCACACCAGTATCAGGGTTGTATCTACAGCTCTGCAAAACTTACCTGCTCTGGTTTCCTGGGCTTCCTAGTTTGTGTGACTGACAAAGAGCCCTGGGATCAGGGACATAAACCTGGGACTTCTTCCTTACAACTGAGAGCCCAGGTCAGTGGGTGGCAGGATCACATGTTTGTGCCCTCTTGCTAACTGTGCTGCTGAACAGAGGGCAGTTCCCTGGCCACAGGGCACAGGGATCCCCACATATATTTGCCTCTAGCCTCATGATTTAAATTCTTCTGTGAGTGAGAAGACTCTTGGGGTTTGAACCTCTGCAACTAAATGGAACCCTGTTCTCCTGCTTTCTAAGAGAGTGTTTCAGACTGTCACACAAAAGGCAAGTGCCAGAGCAAATCCTCTCAACTTTATTTTAAAATAAAACAGCAAATTCTAATCAAAGCTTTGAAAGAGCAGTTCTAAGTTCCTATCTTGAAGAGAAGTACCTGTAGCACTATACCTACTGCTACAGACACAGAAAGCCCAGAGACAGACACATCCTGTATTTTCATGCTGTGCTTTTCTAGCTGTAGACAGTGTCCAGCTCCATACATGTGCTGTTCTTTGCAGACTTGCCTTCCTGAACACCACATGTAACTAGCCCAAATAACCAAGGACACTGCATGGACCAGTCCTAGTTCCAACTCCATCACCACTCCAGAAATGTTTACATTAAACTCAATTTGCAATTAGAGGTTTCTTATGAAAAGTTTGAACAGCTGCATTTCAATACCTTATGCCATTTTTCATAAAGAAATGAGGCCAGTGATGGCAGGAGAAAGCCCACAACACAAATATGACCATCCACTAAATATCTAATATCTCTTCAACCTTTTAGTTGTGCACAATGGAACTGTTGTTCTAAATATTCCTACCAGGACCAGATAATAGAAATCAGATGGCTTCTCATCCTTGGAAGAGCAAAATGCCTAAGCATTTATTCTAGCTGAAGAACTGCTCTGTTTAGGAAGGCAATTACTTGACACTTGGCAGTTTTTGCTAAGTTGTTCTTGATCAGCTAGAAAGAGCTTTCCATCTTGCTGTAAGGTGTATTAAATGGTTGTTGAATGACAATAAACCTGGAGCCTTTTCTAGCAGCAGCAGTAATTACCAATCCCTTCTGGAAGTTTAAATCCTGCATTGATCTACACTAGGATGATTAAAGCATGGAGACAAAAGTCTCTCTTGACTTCAACAGTGCCTTTGACAGTGAATGAAATATCCAGAGCTAATTTGGCCTCAAAACTGTGAGGAAAGGCAGAAAGAATGGATGTCAAATAAATGTTTCACATATTCTTGCAGGAAAATTACAGGTTATGGTTTGGCACCTATTCTGGTAATGCTGGCGACGCTCTGTCTGGTGGGAGCAATTTTGAAGATCAGTGGTCAGCTTCTCACAGAGGGATGCAGTTCACCACATTTGATAAGGATCACGATCAGTTCCTGGCAGGCAACTGTGCATCAGAGAACAAGGGTGGCTGGTGGTTTAACAGGTATGGAAAACAGCTGATTCTTCTTGGATGTGTAGGTTGTGGGTGGCTGCACAGCTGAGAGGACTTGCCTGCCTTACAGCAGCTGGAGGCTGCTGTGTGCACTTGCCACCTCTCACAGCCAAACCTATAGATCCTCAAAGGAAAACAATTTACTACTTTTATTAGAGCAAAGCAGGTAAGTTGAATTCACTTTAAGAAAATGGGTCAGAACAAATGCACGGGGGACAATGACCTGGAAGGAAAAGAGCTCAGTTAAAATTCCTGAAAGTGCTTTGTGTTATACTCCAGTGAAGAAAACAGCTGTAGCCATGGTAAGGTGAAGTGTGTACAAAGAACATTTCCCTAGAATGGACCCTCTATCTAAGAGCAGAGCTACCCCACAGCAGTTATAAGGGTGTTTTTGCTGTTTGGGCATATGCCACACATCAGTGGATAGGGACTCAAGTTTAACAGCCCTGGAATCTGGGATATAACACTCTCAGATTTTCTCTGCTTTAGTACAGGATGAGCCTCTTAGACCAGATTCTCATCACATACCACTTGAAATTGGTGGAGCTAAAAAAATGTACATCAATAGCAGGATTTACGTCAATGAAAAGACGTCTGCATTTTTAGGTGTCAATATGGAGCTGCCTACACTTGAGCTAGAGTTTACCAAATGGCACTACACCCCTTTGTTCAGGCCATGCAGTTCTAATGTCCATAGTTAATATACCTGAAGGAGTCAACAGGCAGAATTATCTGACCAGTGTAGGTGTCTGCTTTAGGATGCTTTAGGATGACCCATATATTCCTGTGTTCCACTAAAAGCATTAACCATTTAGTCCATCCCGCCCTGGCATATCCAGATATCTGTTGTTTGAGAACAGTACTTTGCAATGATGCAGTAACTTCTCATGCTAAACTGAATTCCCTTCTTGTCTTTCCTGCATTGTTCCAAGGTGCCATGCTGTGAACCTCAATGGGCGATACTACAAAAGAGGGAGGTACAGCGGACCCCATGATGATGGCTTGGTTTGGTCTACATGGCACGGGATGTGGTACTCACTGAAATACTCAGCCATGAAAATCAGGCCTCCATTCTTTATCGACAGAGAGAGCGGAGATGGTGACAACAGTCAGGCCAGCTGAAACAGCTGCTTTGGAAAGAGAAAAGCACAGGCTGAAAAGAGTGGTGTAAGTTGATAGCCAGTGCTCTGCTGCTGCTGCCAATTGCCAAACCTGCACTTGATAGCTGGAGTTGCACCTGCTTCTGCTACCTGAGGCTAACAGCACGAGTTGTTTGAGCACAGCCAGACAACATTTTAATAAAAAACATATGGATCACAGTCATGGAATAACCAGAGATTTCTTTTTCAGCAGTTTTCAAGATTTTGTTGGAGAATGTTTCTTTAAAGTTCTCTGGACTTAGAAGGATCAAGCATGTCCTTTAATCAATCTATACTTTTCAAAGTCTTTCTCATCTTGATTTTAACCATCAGTGTTTCCGTTATGAGAACATCAGTATAGAAAGCACAAGGGGATGGGAATTGGACTTCATCTGGTGTGCCTTTGTTAGTGCTTTGATCTGCTTCAGGAGAATGTTTTTAAGCAACTTTTCCTATGGTTGTAATTGCCACACTTCAGATGCAGAGTGTTCGTGGAATGTGTGAAACCAGCCCAGAGGATGGACATGCTCCAACTGCTAATGTGCATCCAGACGAAGGCTGCTTCAAAGTAGTCTGTCCACCCACAATGTGGACACTGTGAGCTCCATTCCAACAGCTTCCTGCTGCAGATCTACTGCTAGAGTACACCACAAGACATTAAAGCAAAGACAATCCTGCCAACCAGTTTTAAACCCCAGATTAAAATTATGCAGATTTGACTAAAATTAAGGTGAACACAGATATTCCTAGGAGCTCCTAAAATGCAGTCATTCTCCTGTACATTCTCCTGTAATTTACCAGCTGACCTTGCATTAGTGAAGAGGAATCAGAAAGTGATTGAACCACAAGGCACACTGCTTTCATTGTCTCACTGGGTGAAATGAAAGAACACCACAAATGACTGAAAGAAATGGAATACTGAAAATATATTTTCTACAGCTGTTAATAACAACAATTAAAAATGAACAGCAGAATCAGCTTGATGCAAATAATTTAAACCTGCTTCCTTTCATTCTGATTTATAATAATTTTTAAACTGGTATTTCTCTTCCATTTACTTGCTTTTATATCCATACATACTGTAATTTGAATACATATCGACAGAGAGCGAAATAAAACCGTCTGAGTAGGACTTAATACTTTTTATCTGGTTTTCAACAATAGGAATGTGAAAAGAAATCTGGATCAAAATCTTGGAAAGCTCATAATATGAGAAATGTATTCTTTCAGTGTTGGCTCTGGTGCTTTCTCACCTGTTGTCCTGGGTAGTTGAAAGAGTCTGCAAGGTAAGTTTAATTATCATGGCTCAAGCTGTCCTGGAGACAATGCAGAGGAATGAGGTGAAGGTTGAGTTTAAAACTTGGTTTGGTTCCTTTGCTTTCTAGACATCCCAGTGACTGCAAGCATGAACATCCAGCGTAATGGGCAGCACTCCAGGGAGCTGTGCTGCTAGAGCCTGTGCCCTTGGCCAGACTGCCCCCCTGCCCTCTTCTCAAGCATGCTCATGTGGAGTGAAATTTTCACCAACATGTCTGAAATGAGATTGCCCTTGTGAAGAAAGGGCTGCAAAAAGGCAGCACTTATCCTTTCCCTTCTGATCACTGCTTCTGTATTTTGATACGGTAAAATCTCAGTGCAAGACTGTAACTGCATGTTGGGACATAAGGAATGACTTTGCACACATTATAACTGTGTGGCCTCTGAGGAGCACTGGGGGCAGAAAGGATAATTTTTATTGTTTTGAAGACACAGAGAAATGTGAGTGAAATCAGTTCATGCCTTCTGGCAGCTGATGCTCAATCCCATCCTTCAGCAGAGAGCTAAGGAAGTAGGGCAAAGACTGTGGAAACTACAGCATTTAAGGGACAGCATTTGTGGTCTGGCAGTTCATTAAGCATCTGGTAACCCATCTGATTATGGATTATCAAAGTGGAGATGAAGTCATCAGGGCTAAATCAGACAACCAGCACCCAGTCCAGTTCCCCAGTGAGTGAGCAATGAGTGATGTCAAATCCAGACTATGGAGCCTGTTTCCCTGAGTGTCAGTATGGAGGGGCAGGCATTAGAGCCGGACTGCCTTCAGCCAACATCAGTGCCAGGGTGTTTCTCCTGTCTCTGAGAGGGAAAGGGAGGCCAAGGCATGACAAGCTGGGAGGGAAGAGGTTTGCCCTGCTGCCTTTGATGTAAAATGTAGTAAGTACATCTAATGCACAACACAGCCCAACATTGGGACAACTTTGCAGAAAGAAGCAGCATCTGATTTAGAGCAATGTTGCCTTTTCTCTGCCCTGCTGTAGCAAAGGAAACCCCCTCTGAGATGCAAGGGTCACAGGGCTTTGTGCAGGAGCCTCCAAATCCCACAGCACACCTCAGGAAGCATTTCAGAACCACCTTTAATTTTAATAAACAGGGTAGAATGGCACTAGCTGAGTACTTAGTGGATCTGAGGGCTAGCGCCAAGCTCCAATCCCTCCTGCTGAAGCCTAGGGAAATGCTTGCTGAATGCTGCTGCACTGCATATCTGGTCTCCCATTTCTCCAGGGTCTCTCTCCCATGCTGAGAGGCTCAACAAAGCTTAAACAGACACTGTAGCCCTGCAGCTCCAATGCTGATGGATCCCCGCTTCAGGGAGAAGGTACTTCACACCACAGACCTTACCTTAGTACAGGCAGGGTAAGTAACCTGAGCAGCAATTGTTCCAGAGGCGTGATTTCCAGCTCACTAAAGTCAGTTTAAAGCCTCATTACATTTGATTGCCTTTGGATAAGTCTTCAAGCGTGAACACCTTTATAGATGCTTTAAACAGCTTTTCAAGCTGACAGTTCATGGGAATGCATCGCTGGTACCAACACCATGCTGGGCCAAGGGCTGAACATCAGCATCTTGGCATGGCTCCCGGGAAAGAGGGAGCTCACATCACCCACCGAGTCAGATCCCTCACTCCAGCAGCAGCTGCAAAGCATTACCCATCAGAAAGGCCATTCAAACAGCCAGATTTGACTCTGGTGGCCAAATGCTGAGGCTTGCTCCTCCTATGTTGTCACAGCAGGTAACACCGTGTGCCTGTCAAGCTACCTGTGCCAGCTTTGGACACTGCAGCGGGGTGCCATCAGAAACTGGCAGCTTACCCACAGCAATGCTGCTCTCCCTTTAATATTGCTGCTGGTTTGGGGGGGAAGAAGTATGACATTGGGAAATCTCTGCTCAGAAAGCCAGTTTTGAGAAAGATAGCAGCCTACTTCATGGCAATGGAGCACATGCTAATTTTGCTTTCACACCCACAAGGCAGGTTAAAGGGCATGTAGGGTTAGGCTCCTTAGGGGAGAGTTGATTTCAGTCTAATAGTCCACTGCCTAAACCTTTCTTCTCTTACACCAACCTCCATGGGAAGCATCTCCTCTTTTTCTGTTTCTGCCCACTAGCATTCCCCGGTCTTTGCAAAGTCCCCAGAGAGACGGTTATCCTAACAAATGGCAAGAAAAGTCTTAGTCATCCACAAAGTCTGAGCTCTGCTTCTGCTGTTAATTGGAGTTCCAACCTAACTCTGAATACTTACAGCAAATTCTAATGGCAAATTTGTGATGTCTGGTTTTAAAACACAACAAAAAAGCCCATCATGGTTTTTGTAGTTCACTGTTACTGCTCTCTACAATTCTCTGAAAGGAGGTTGTAGAAAGGCAGAAGTTAGTTAGCACCTTCTCCCAGGTAAAAAGTGACAGGATCAAAGGAAATGGCCTCAAGTTGTGCCAGAGGAGATTTAGATTTGATATGAGGGAAAATTTCTTCACTGAAAGAGTGGTCAGGCATGGAAAGAGGTATCCCAGGGAAGCAGTGGAATCACTGTCCTTGGAGGTGTTCAAAAGGTGTGTTGATGTGCCAGTTAAGGGGTATGGTTTAGTGGTGAACGCAGTGGTGTTACGTTAATGCTTGGACTTAATTATTTCAGAGGTCTTTCCAATGTAAATGATTCTATAAGATTCCCTGTGAATCACCAGATATTGTCAAGCCATTTTAATTTTTTCTTCCCAGAACGGGTATTAATCAAATAATCTTGTTGTTTTCTGGTTTTGTTCATAATTTATTTTGAGCTTGCCATGGTAGTATTATTGTCAATGTACTTACATTAAAAAATTTTAATAAAGGAAAGGATCACTATGGAAAGGATGCATAATTCAACAGTTCTCTCACTGCTTTTGACAGGTAACATGCTGCGGTAACATTTCTGTGAGGACTAAAATCTGACCACCTGTCTTCTTTGCCCTCCCTGTAGCATGCCTTTTGTACTAATTTCCTGCAAATATTTGTACATTGTTTTCTTGATATAAATATTGACAGTAAGATAATATCAAAGTCTTGAATGATGAAAATGTCTCCTCAATTTTAAATTCACTCCAATATTCAGCATCAAATGTTTGCACTTTCATGCAACCAGCTAAAACACCCCCCCACCATATGAGTTATTTGAGCCACACCTACAAATCAACACAGTTCACTGATGACTATCAGAAAAATTATCAAAACTGCCCACAGATTGAGCTTTGTGCTTTCTACATGGGAAATGATTCACTAATAAGGGCAGATGGTTGAGGGTGCTGGACAGTGGATGCTTCAGTATCTCACAGTCTACCAGTACACAGTGGGCAAGGTGGGAAATGTCAGCGGCACTCTTCATGTATGATGCACAAAACATGATGCTTTACACAATAAAATCTATTGGCTATTCCTGAGCCACACCTTAACTAACGTGTTCCTTCCCAGGGTACTTTGTGTGTCTTGTACACACATACATACAAAAAATAATTATATGAAAGCACTTTTCAGTAATTAGAAAGGAATATGTTCCCACAAGCCAGACCTGGGGCGTTACTCCCTGCTGCTATGTGTAGAGGTAACACGACTCCTGCTCTTTCTTTCACCAGAAGCCAAATGATCCTGCAGATCCTCTCCCACGCACGCACGGCACTCCTGCAGGGCCGCAATGAGTCACTCAGATCACCAGCTTCTCAATGCTCAGAGTGCTTGTTTCATCTTCTTCATTTGAGCCAAAATACCCAGGGAGGTCGATCATCTGCTGCTCCGCCTCCGTTAAGCCAAAAGTAGAATTGTCATAAAAGGCAAACTCAGGGTCCAGGGGGAAGCTCTGGCACTTGTCCCTTCGATACTGGGCAGGGCTGATGCTTTGGCCTCTCTGGGAATTATCTTTGCCATTTGGGCCGGTTTCTTTCCGCCACACACCTTTGGGGTTAGGAGAAGGGCCCCTCTTACTTCGGCTGGGCTCAGGCTTCTCAGCTGCCCTCTCCTGACCAGCAGGCTGGCGATCCGTGATCAGGTCCAGCTTCCTCACCGAGGGACCTGCCCTGTGGTGGGGCTTTGTGCCACGGCCCTGTGGTTCACACCCCAGCACAGTGCCCTGCGGCTGATCCAGCTTTTCACAAGCTGGATTGGTGTTTCTTGATTTTGTCCGTGTCCTGTCCTCCAGACCATGGTCCCACGTCCTGGTCCTGGAGTTGTAGAGAGGAGTCTGTCGGGGTGTGAGAGTGGACATGCTTCTCTCTCTGAAAGGCCTGGCCTTTTTAGTTTCATGGAAACTGGCTGTTCTTCTGAACTGCGAATTTCTGTGACAGCCCCTCTCAGGCAAGTCCACTCTGTTATCCTGGTGCTTGAAATGACCTCTTCTTACCAAGGTTTGGGTAGGGCTCATTGCAGGATTGGCCTGTGAGAATGGAAAATCCAGCCTAGGGTGAGAGCCTTCTCCCAGGAACTTGGGCTGACTGGCTGGCTGGTCCAGGAATGGAGATTTGATCCGAAATTTGTTTGCCGCTGCCTCCTCTTGGTTTTCCCCGCTCAGGGGAAGCATGGTGGTGGCACCAAGAACCGTGTCCGTGAGAGGATTCTGAGAGACATGGTACACCTTAGTGGTCTCTGTCAGGCCTTTCTTCTTCATCTCTTTCAGCTGCTGCTGTGCCAGGCGGTAGCTGAAAATTGGAGGGATTATTTTTTGGGCATTTGGCTGAAAGTTTTCACTTCCAGAGGCATCATCTTCTTGGGCAAACTGGAGGCTTCGCCTGTAGGTTAGGGGAATGTTAACAGGGGCGTCCCCTCCTTCAGCAAAGCTGTCCCGTTGCTTGTTGCCTTGG